AAATATATATATAGATATATATATATATATATATATATATATAAGTCAATTTAATTAATTCAATTTAAATTATCATGTTTGTCAAATTAATTCAAACCGATGAACACCCCGAACAAAAACATTATATATAAATAGTTAGCAAAGATACTCGGTTTAATATACGTTATTTCGGATTGTGATAAAATCCAATATGCACTTTCAGATGATTCAGGTGGTATAACCTTATGGCTCGACATCATATCCTCGCTATCGGATTATAGACCCACTACGACAATCGTCCTCGTACTCGTTCCCACATAAAAACTTAAAAATCTACACGTCCATCTGAAAATGAATAAACAAAATATAAGTTTAACTACAACAGGGTCACTAATTGTTTTGCTCGCACTGTTCAACTACCCGATTCCAGCCTCCTACTTTTGTCGAGAAAAATGCTTCATTGATGGCGCCTCGCAAAGAGAGAAGATAAAATGTAAATAGGAAAGAAAAAAAAAAAAAAAAAGGCCGAAACAAAATACGATACGTGTATATGTAATAAACCGCCTCTGCATGCGTCATGTATGTTGCATCGATCTTTAAATTCAAGTAAAGGCTCCCCCACTTTCACACCGTGCAAGAAGACATTTAGGTCTGGTGTATCTTCTTTCATGGATTCCGTACTGCTCTTGTAGAAAAAGTTTGTTGCACATTCGTAGTAAAGCAGCATGAAGCAAGTCTTGGTAAAACTCTTTATCTACATTTTGACCATATTCAATTATCTATCTTTCAAAATCCTAAAACACTATTAACTAGTCCATTTTAACCATCTCCCAAAATCCTCCGACATAGTCTAGTCCTCATTTAACAAAAAGATGTGATCACATACAACAATCACATTCCTACCTTCACAGCAAGTAAAAATGATTGAACATTCACATGTAGAACACTGGCAACCTAAATACAACCCCACCAACCCGCACTTACACTCGGCAAACCTAATATATTTCATGTTAGAACCTGCCTTCTACCAACAGAAAGCAAGAGGAAAACATAAGGGGAAAAAAAAAAAAAGGCATACAGCTTATGCTTACTAGATCGCCCATCCAGTAAAAGATGCTGAATGAGAAGTGGATGCTTTATATCTCTTAGCAAACCCATCTCCCAGCTGTACCAATTAATAGAATTATCAATTATATTATGAGCATTATAAAAATGCATCAATTATTGCAGAAATCATGAAAGCGAAGCAACTGGATCCCATCTTAAAAAAAAATCCTCACCCACGATGACAACGTTGGGAAGGAAAAAACAAGAGCTAAGAGAGTTATTTGGCTGTAAAAGTGTGTAAAAATCGGAGGAAAATATTAATACCACCGTACTGAACCAGTTGACTACTTGCAGGTTTGATGGGTAAAAGATAATTGGAATATTAAAAAAGAAATCATGGGTTATCAAAACAACCATCATTTAGTTTTTGGCTCCTGTTTAACAGCAAAATAGCTCATGGTCATATTTTAATACTAGCCAAGAAACAATCTTCACAACATTAGACAACGGGATAATTTTCCACTAGCAAAATTCATCATTTCCAACCGCTACAATGCAGCCAGTGCATGAGTAAGAAAACTCAACTAATGTCATTTGGAGCCGGATGCAAATAGTGTAGAGGCAACATAGTATTTAGTAGTAACTTGTATGAGGTGAACATAGAATTTAGAAAGGAAAAGCCACACCCACAAATTTACAGAACCTAGCCAAAAACTATGGTTAGAGCCATAAGGATCGGAAATTTACATTATACAGACCCTGCACAATTTTCTTACAACTAGTTGATGGGATGTTTCATATATTACCCATAGGAAGGGGAAAAAATTTGTCAACAAAAAACAGACAAGGACTTGCTCCAAAGGATGCTTTAATCAAAACACTATACCATAAATTTAACAAAACATTTGAGCAATTAATAATAATTCAATGGCAAAATCTATCATATCCCATTCAAGGGAGAAAAAAAAAAGGTGACAGCGACCATAATATACAAGAAACAACTACAGCATAATAACTAAATAATCCAGATCCTAAAAATCTATCAAGATAAAACAACTGGAAAAACACATAACAAACCAAGTTTTGCATTGTACCTCTAGAGAGACTGAAGGAACAATTAATGGAAGTTCTATACTTTAGGATATACTGGTAACCTCCTCAACCTGCTTGCTTTGATACTGCAGTGACATTTGCAGACAAATATCATAAAAAAATCCTTCAATCTTCAGATGACGAATAGAAAAGAAAATAACATAACTTTTTTGGTTAATTTCCACATTGCGTTTAAGCACTTTATACTCCAGTCAACGAACACAAGGGGGATAAAAAGCTGAAAATAAATTGTATATTTCCTTCTGTTATTAGTTATAAATTAGTTCAAAGTTGTGGTCACTAATACTAGACAGCACCTGTTCAAAGAAAGCACTAAAATGCTTTCAAAAATAGCTGTTAGACATTACACGTTAGGATTTTCTAACCAACAGGTATGGTGGGAAAAAAGAAAAACCCATGTTTCACATTCATTGAGGCAGTATTCACAATTTACACTGAAATACAACAGCTCAAAAACAAAGCAAATGCAAAAAAACTTCTCTCATTGCATAACCGTTAAACACAGGAGCCCATGAAATTCATGGCAATTCATTTCGCTTATACATACTACAATCCGTAACATTCACCAATTGACATCAATTAATTCTTGTATAACAAATCCGATACTTCTGATCCAATAAAATTATAGAATGCATTTTTCTTTGGAGTCAGTCATTGAGCTCCAGAGAAGAGGTTGAAACTTGAAAGTTGAAACCACTTAAAATCCAAACAAGTGATGCTTGATTTTACATAAAATTGTCACGTCCACAATAAATTAATTCATAGTAAAGCATGCCATCCACAAAATTAAATTCAAAAGAATGTTTCAAATGCAATAGATGACTAATAATAGACCAATAATTTGGGCAAGTAGCAATCTTGTGAGGAACAAATACACAACCAAGTATAAACAATTCTCCTCCCCCAAACCAAAAAAGTTAAGTCAAAACCATCAATCATTAAAAATCACCCATGCTAGCAGGATAAGTACAGATTCTAAACATTATCACTCTCACAGACAATACATATCCTCATTCCTTAATATCCGAGATATCAAAGGAATGCATTACCTTTAAATGCATAATGTCATTCAATTTCTTTGATAAGATGCACAGAAGATCCTCTTCCACTTCACACCAACCGTCTCTTGCAAACACAATGTGAATATTAAAAGAGAAAGAAGATATAGCTGCTACAAAATCCATAGTTCTTTAATACTCAAAACCAGATAAAATTTGTTTACAATATGCCAATGGAAATATATGTTACAAAGTTTCAGTAGACACTGACAATTCCTATTTTTAGAAGCCAATAATGCCACACCTTGAGCAGCAAGCCGTGTCCCAGATGCATTTCTATATAATGATCAAGCATCAAGAATGTTAACCTGAAATAAATCTTGTTCCCAGAAGGTAAAAAGAATACACCTCCGCTTAACCAACAAGTTCCTGCTAAAAAACAGCACGAGTGATCGTCTAACAAACAATGCTTCCAACTTCCATTCAGTGCATACCCTCACCTCATACACTAAAACATTCACTGGAGTGTGTTAAAAGATTATTGAGACAGCTTTGGTAGGCACCATTCTCAGCCAAAAATTCCACCAGTCCCTGTTTCACCCTGCTGTAACTCCTTCCTGCGCTGCTCCTCTAGAGGATCTGGACTCTTGTATATTCTCCGCACACGCCTATTTATATGATGAAATTATGAAAACTTGTCGAAAATAAAAATTATTGAAGGATGTTATATAGACTCACAATACTCACATAACTGCCCACTTTTGTTCAGACTAGAGAACAGCTATGTAAAGTTTTTCTTAAAAACAAAATTGCTACAGCATTTCCTATTAGGTCAAAATACCTGTCCTGAGCATGTTGAGCAGGAAATGTAGGCATGAATTCTTTACTCTTGGGAAGAGGAACTTCACGAAACCACTCATGATTGAGAGCAGCCTCAGCAGTGATTCGCTACATAAAATAGTAAGTCTTATCATAATATTCAGATATCAGATAAATATTTATTACCAAATTAATTCATCTAGCTCATGTAATCTTTTACCTTTTCAGGGTCATAAGTTAGAAGCTTGTTCAGCAAATCAAATCCAGAATCAGAAAGGACAGGAGATCCAGTGAATGACGTGGCAGGAAATTTTTTACGCAGGAGGTTAAACCTGAAAGGAACATTCCTGTTGTTAATACAAAATACAAAATTTGTTCAACAGTAAAAGTCACCAAGGGAGGCCAGATAGTCAGACCAGAACCACCCAAAGTTGGAAGCCTGGGAAAACAGTGGCAAACATAAGCACAATGTAATCGAACACTAACGTTTTAACAAAAGGAAATCATAAGCACTTACTGGTGTTTGACAAAATTGACCTTGACACCAGGTAATTTTGAGAAGCCAGGCCAAATTGTTTCATTTGGTGTGCCAAGAATCCGGAAAATCTGCATGAGTAGAATAACATAAATCAATATAAATGTGATAGCAAGAATGTATTCGTTAAAAAAGTAAATAACATTGCACATACCTTGTCAAGTTGATCAAATTCCGTTTTACCATTAAACAGTGGTTCCTTAGATAATAGTTCAGCCATTATACAACCTAAAGACCACATGTCAATGGCTGTTGAATACTGTTTTGACCCTAGAAGAAGTTCAGGTGCCCTGAGAAACAGATAGACAACCATTAGGTAAATGATCTCATCACAGACTCGGGTACACTCATGTAAAAGCATTGATGCTGCATAAAAAGGAAGGATAAGTATAAAGATATTGACCTAAACACTAAAACTTAAAAAGACAAGTAACAGCTAATTGGCCATAACACTACTTAAATATTATTTCAGAACAGCTTCAAACAAAAATTAGTTTTATTACATTGCACTGAGCATACCTACATTACTGCATAGAGCTTCTAAATTCATGAGAAAACAATTAACTATACTTGAGAATGTAATACCAAATAGTCTATGATATGAATACACACAAACACAGAGAAAAAACAAAATTGCGTATGTAAGCAAAATAGCACTCACCTGTACCACAGAGTAACCACCAGGTGTGTATATGGTTTTAAAGGGCTCCCATACTGACGAGCCAAGCCAAAATCACAAATTTTGAGCTCACCCCTGTTATTTAGAAGCAGGTTTGAAGTCTTTAAATCTCTATGAAGCACCCAATTGTCATGAAGATACTTCACACCTTCTAAAAGCTGGATCATCAAGCACTTCACTTCACTCTGGCTAAAAGGTTGCTTCATTGCCTCCATTAGTCCTTTAAGGTCATGTTCCATATATTCCATGACCATGAAAATGCTATCAAGGCTACTTCCTACTACTACTTCCTTGACATCAACTATGGATGGGTGGTGAAAAGAAAGAAGAATATTTATTTCCCTAAGAGAAGTCAATGGGAAACCCTCTTTTTCCTTCTCCATCTTGACCTTCTTCAATGCTACAATTTCTCCAGTTTTTTTATCCCTAGCCCTATATACAACACCATATGTTCCTTCATCTATCTTGTTAAGTCTCTCAAACTCATCAACACTTCTACAACCCTGAAGCATGTTGACTGTTCTTTGTGGTGGAGCTGGTGGTTCTGGAGTCTCCCGGCCATCATCTTCATCTTCAGAATCCGTGTCTGAGTGACTAACACTGGTTTCACTTTTGCCACCTTGAGCATCCATCTCCATGTAGTCATCCTTCTCTGACTCAACACCAGGATGATCATCGCCACTGGATGTTCTCCCTCGAACACCTCTTTCTTCAGATTCCGATGACCTGGCTCTAGCTCCTTCCATACCTTCTATCTTTGATTCTTGAGGGCTCAATAGCTTGTTCCTTACTCTTCTATCCAATACTTCAGGAGACACCCTCCTCCTCCTTTTGGGCATTTCCTCATCATTGAGGATTTCGCCCTCATCACCAGGAGAGTTATCCCCAGCTGCCCATCTAGAAGAGGATATATTGCGAGTTGGAACATAATCTTCACCTTCTGGATGCTCGGCTTCCTGATCATTGCCCCAGCTCCCTCTCTGCGGCGAGGAATGCAAAACTGAAGGAGAGGGCAAGACAACCTTTGATGCTGCATTCAACTGAACATCCTCAGTGTGCCTGTTCTTAACAGGATTTATCTCAACTCCACCATACGGAGTATTCGGAGACTGCGACTGGCGGAACACCTTCGGCAACGGCGGGGGGGGGGGGAGAGGCGGCACCGCCGCGGGGGA